GGGGGGGGGAGGGGAGGGGGTGTAGGGTCTGGCGATAAGGGGCCTTGGGGGTTTGATTGTTTTGTCGTCTGCCTAGAGGACTGGGTTTTTTTTTGGAGTTCACGGTCTGGTGGCCTAAGCCCTACCACCCGAAACCCCTACGACACAGCAGCCCCGACAAGGGACGTAAGGTCGTCAGGACGAAAGTCTCCTCAGCTTGAGCCGACATGAAATTTCTGCAGACCCTGACACTTCATCCGGGTTGATAAACCCTAAACCCTAAAGCCTAATTTAGGGTTTAGGGTTTCATCCGGGCCAAGCTCTGCACCTAAACATGCGGAAGCCCCGAAGACACGGAAGAAGCCATCAAAGTACGGTTTCGCCCTCGTTAGCCTTCGACAAAATCCGGGATACGCCTCAGGTAGCCAGAGGCCTTAAAGGCCCTTAGCAAAAGGGTTTAGGGTTTAGGGGTTTAGGGTTTAGGGGTTTAGGGCTTAGGGTTTAGGGTTTAGGGCCCTTTGAAAGCCATTCTAAAGCTCGGAACGCACCTGAAACACCATTTGTTTACAAATACGCCGAAATTTTACAGGCTCCTAACTTAAACCCTCCACAACAAAACCACCCTGAACCCACATCTATAACACCTAAAACTTGAAAGGTCCTAGAACGAAGCCTAGACAGAGACCAAAAGGCTCTATCACACAGGCCTTATACCCGCTAACCCGTAACACCTAAATACGCCCTTAACCTGTAAGCCCTAAACCTCTAATCAAAAGTCCTTGGAACAAGGAAACCTCAAGGCCCAAAGCCTAAACCCCAATGACGACCTGCCAGATTGGCTCCCCTGTGGCTGACCCTGTGGGGTCGGCCCGTCTGTGGAGCTAAGCAGTGCTTTGGCGGAGATTGCGGGTTTACGCTTTTTCGGGTTTGGGGTTTCTGGCTTTGGCTGCAGGGCTTAGGGTTTCGGGAATATTGACCATCAGGGTTGAGGGTTTGGGATTCGGGTTTAGGGGGTGTGCGAGGGCTAGGGGTTTGGGCAACAGTACATGGGGTAAAGGGTTTAGGATTGGGGGGAAGCCTGTCTTGTTGTTGGTTTTAAATAACATCGAAAAATACATAATACCTATAGTTCTTTGGGGCTATTCAGAATGTTATGGGAACAAAGGGTTTAGGGATGTAGACGGAGAGTTTCCGTTCCGGGCATCAGGGCTTAGGCAGACGGTTTTGGGTTGAGGGTCTCAGCGCTCAGGGTGTAGTAATATATGGGTCTGAATGTCTACTACTGTAATCCCATAGGGCTTCTTGTTGTTATGATGATGGTATACTATACCCCGAAAAGCTGTTCTAATGATTCAGGCCCCACATATTAGTCCAAAGGATGCTGTGAGACTGGGGGGTGCAACTCTAGACTATGCAACCTCTATGCCTGATGTGGATTGTCTTTTGGATTGCTACTTTTGGGGTCATCAGGTGCTGGCATCTACGGCTTTTGAAGTACGTTCTGATCTAAACCTTCGACCCTAAACCCCAACCTGGGTGGTGCGGCTACTATTGGGATTCGTCGGGTTGTATGAGGGTTTTATACAGTCTACTTGCAAGGGCATTTTGCGTGGGATTTGCAGTGGGACTTCGGATTCATGGAATCATTGGCCCTACGCCCACATCAAGACCCTGAACTGTGAATTCTGAGATAACCCCCTAAACCCTAAACCCTAAACCCCCAAGTAGGGTTTAGGGTTTAAGTTCTCAGCTGGACTTTCGAACATGGGCGAACCCTTGCAGCACCGACGTCTCCGTGGTTCTTGTTAAGGAGCCTAATTCACTTACCATGAGAGATCAGTAGAAAACAATAGGGTTGGCTTAGGATGGCAACTTTAAAGTCCTAAGCCCTCAACCCCTCAACCCTAAAACCCCAAGTCCGAAACCCTGCACCCTAAACAAGAACTCCGTCTCTCAGGCCATGATGGTCCCTCCGGGGGCTGTGCCCATGGTGCAGCCCAGCATCGGCACGGCCCTGAAGTTGCAACGGCTTGGGGCTTTCGGGAAGCCTCGAAGGAGAGGGTTCGGGTCCGAGAGCTCGGGGTATAAGCATTCCTGAGCTTCGAGGCTTGCGTTTGGGGAGGCTTAGGGCTCCAGTTGACCCTCGATCCGCATGGGCACCAACTCCCCGGCCTTAGGCCTATGCCTTAACCCGGAAAGGCGTCAGAATGTAGAGACGAAGGACTGGAAGCCTCAAACCCCCAGGTCAAGAATTCAGGGCTGGCGGAAGGGAATAGGGTTTAGGGACGGGATGCTTCGGGTTTAGGGTCTTTTGCTTATTATTGAACGCCTGAATCCGAACCCTCAACCCTAATTGTCCTAAAGAGGCTTTCGTATCCCTGCTACGTGCCAGACAGTGCCAAGTTTAAGGTTAGGGCTTCCCGGTACCCCCAAACCCTAAACCCCTAATTACAGTCACTTTGCTGCTTCCACTCTGGATCTAGATTGTCTGGCCGAGGGATGCCACACATCAGGGTTTAGTAATTTAGGCTTAGGGTTTAGGGCACATTGACATGAGGTCCTGCGATGCCTTCGACATTGACGCCGACCGGTGCTGCACAGGTCAGCCACTCTGTAACACTGTCTGAAGGGTCGGCAGCCTTAGTCTGGGCTTATAGGTTGGATGCTCTCCGAGTACATCCGACCCTGCATTGTTGCACAGAAGTTTGTAACCGACTTGCCAACTGCCTTGAGCTTTGATAATTACCGATACTATGTTCTTGGGGTTCCTTGTTATGATTATATAGTATAATGGGCCCCAAAACCTTGTTCTAGTTCTTAAGGCCCCTATATTATTTCTGCTTCGTTGATCGTGGCCTCCCCAGAAAATCAAGCTAGCGGCCAGGGTCGTCTCAACATCCGAAGAGGTACAGTGGCCTACTCTAGTGATCCACCGGGCTTCTTGGTCGACAGCACTCTAAACCCTAAACCAAGCTTCCGGAGACAGAGGATGCAGACGCAAAAATGGGCTCCAACAGAAACAAGCCCTAGGCCAAAACCCTAATTTTTGCTGCAGGGGCCGGGATCTCAGGGTGCTTTGAGATATCTGCCGCCTCGGAGGCTGCTGCCCTGGGCGCTTCCACGCAGAAGGCACCGAACGAGCGCAGCTTGGCAGAGCAAGTTTACAAGACGGTGGGCCCTCTAGGTTTAGGGTAGGGCTACGGCTTAGGAGCCTAAGGCTTCAAGGGTTTAGGGCTTAGCCTTCGGGTTCCAAAGTACCCATTATTCGGTACTTGGGTTTGTGGGAGTATTTAATGATACGGTTGATGATACATGCAGTACGAAAAATAAGGAATATACCACAAATTCCCATCGTTTAGGGTGCTTAAGGTAATGCAGCGTTTATACCATCAACTGTATGAGTTTTCGCTAGTTGGATCCTCAATTCGCTACGTTCAGATCACCGGTCAGGTCGTATAGCGGCCTGAATGAACAATTACATATCGAATTACAAAAACTATTTCAGGGCTTCTTATACAAAATAATATTGTAGTTATATATATATATATAAACACATCGAGCCCAAAGCCCTATTCTGATAATGATGGCCCCAATATGGATATGTTGTCTGTGCTTGTTCCAGCTTCGCACATCTCCTTCGCAGGCAAGGCTGCGTCCGTGACGCTGCGCAAGGCTTGTGGGAACGCTGCTGGGTGCCAGGGCGAGGGGTGCCTAGTCTTAGTGTACGGCTTGGAGGTTTCAAACCCTAAAACCTAAACCCCAAACCCTAAAAGGGGTTTGCTCTAGGGTTTCGGGGCTTCGGGGTTTGAGGTAATTGGGCTTTGGGGGGTCAGAGTTTTGGGTTCAGTTGTTACGTTGGTAGGGCTTCCCGGTTTAGGCCCCTAAACCCCGAAGCCTTATAAGCCCTTAAACCCCTAAGGAGTTTGGCTTCTTTCGTTGCAGGGTTTCGGCGATTTCTGTGGTTCGCAGCTCGGAGCGGCAAGGCACTTGGGAAGGCGGGGTTAGGGCAGGCGCATGGGACTCTAACAATGCCAAATATCACAGATGTCAGGATAACTAAGGACATTATTCACTCATAGTTTCCGCTCTCTTCATGCAAGGCTCTGAGAACATACTCTAGAAGCCCAAACTTTTGCAAATACCATACCACTACCTCAAGGGTCCAAGTACTCTCTCTCTCTCATATCCTTGTTGGGGCCACGAAGTCATAGATAAGGATTATTCGGACCCGTTTAGAGACTGACTCAGTCACTGGTCATCTGTTGCTCCTTGTCAACAACGGGTTTAGGGTTTAGGGAATCCCCAAGCAACTTTCAATGGGCCCTTTTCCGTTTTGGTGGTGCCCTTAAAGGAACCGGAAGGCCCAACACCCTAAACCTTGAGGCCCCTAAGTCCTGAACCCTAAGGCGTTAAGCCCTAAACCCTAAGCCCTACACCCAAAGGCCCTAAACCCTAAGGTCCTATGCCCTACACCACAATGCCCTAAACCCTAAACCCCAAAGCCAAAGCCCGGAACCCTGACGCCCTAAGCGATACACCCTGATCCCAAAAGCCCTAAACCCAAAGCCCTGGGTCGTGGAAGCCGAAGAGGCTTCCGGCAAAGTTTGGAGAGATCCGACGCTGGATGACTGGCCCAAGGAGGACTACAGGCCCTTATAGACAACTCAACGACTGGGGGTTCTAGCCAATTAGGGGTTTAGGGCTTTCGGGTTTAAGTTTAGGTTTGTTTGTTTCTATGAGGTTTAAGGTAGGACTTGAGGTGTTTATGTAGGGGTCTTCATTCTCGGGATTAAAGGGATTTTCATACAGGGAGTTTGTAGATGGGGTTCTAGCAGCGTTTTTTAGGGTTTTCGGTGTTCAGGGCGCAGGGGTCCGGAAGGATCCGACGGACCCTAAACCCTAAACCCCAAACCCTAAACCCTCATCGGTTTAAGGGTTTAGGGGTTTAGGGTTGAGGGCCCTTGAAGCCCACCCCTTCTTTAGGGTTTAGGGTTTAGGGTATTGGCTTGCCCTCTAAACCCCTAAACCCAAACCCCTAAATCTTTTTGGGGGTACCTTAAGACCTTTGGGTGCGGGGTCACGGTTTAGGGCTTAGGGCTTAGGGTTTAGGGTCATTCGAAAGTTTGTGTTTCGTTGCTTATTGGGGCTCCTACTGCAGGGGCCTTAGTTAGTTGAATATGGTTTTGGGGCTCCCTTTTTAAGGGTTCCTTAAAGGGTTCTATAAAGGTTACTCTAAGAGTTGAGGGTTTAGGGGCCTTCACAATAATTAGAATAGGGTTTGGCGGCCCATGTACATTATAATTATACTATAAGGAACCACCCAAACTAGTATTGGTAATTATTTAGGCCCCTACATTACCTTAGGGTCACGGCTTGCCACCGGGTTCGTAGTCAGACAACAGCAAGGTTCCCCAGTAGTACCCTAACCGAACGCTAGGAAAAAAAGGTGTACCCGTATTATTAAGGGGCTACTGAGGAACCTAGACAGTACAAGTTGAAGGGATCAGGGAAAGTAGCAAGGTAGCTTATACCTGGGGTATCCGAATTACCAACTAGGATCCTTCCCTGGGGTTCCTGGACAAGTGGCTTTAGGGTTTAGGGATTAGGGTTTATTGTTATGTTATCCTATGCCGGAAGACCTCATTCTACTTCTGAAGGCCCGCTAGTACGCTCCTGTCCCTTGATTCCGCTCAGTGCTTTGCAGCCTACGAAGTGCCTAAGCGCATGAAACAGGGTCGACCGCCTTACAGCACTGGACTGCAGGATCTAAAGCAGGCTTCAATCGCAAAAGGGTCCTAGGTAGTATACTAATTCCTAGCATAGAAACCCTACATTCTACCATATAGGTACCCTAAACCCTAAACCCTAAACCCACTTAGGATCTCTTGGGAATGATCAACCATCCGCGTAGTTGAGGGAGATCACACTCTTCTCGGCCTTAGAGTTGCCTTGTCGTGTGACTTAGTCTAGGTTTCGGCTGTATGGCTTTGGGCGTAATTAGGGTTTAGAGTTCAGGGGTTTAGTGGTTTAGGGTTTAGGGTTATGTAATGTTGCTGCTAATGTTGCAGTGCCGGACAGCCGACACATCCAGACAATCTAGCGGGTGCCTGTAAGCTTGCTGTTGTGATTCTGCGGTTCGGTTCTATCAGTTTCGTTCTGCAAACTACAGCAGTGCATCGCGCTGCCCACCATGATATTGTGGTGCACGATTCTCCTGCCGATGAGGGCGATCGTCCAGGAGGCTCGCTAGCGGATCTGCTCGCCTTTGTTTGGCCAAGTTTGTGCACCATGTGCAACAAGGTCGGGAAGTGCCCACATTGTTCTCTGCACCATTCCGGTGAATCCCGCAACACCGCTCAGAATTGCGGGCTCCATCATCCCGAAATTGCAGATGGCCAAGATCAAGACCCGTCTATATAGCACGTACGAGGGCATGAGCACGTCCACGCCCGGGCACCAGAACATGCGCGGCTCCATCTCGGAATCCGAGTTCTGGTGCTGGAAGATGCGATTTACGGAAAGATGCCACTACTTGGAGGCCCAGGAGACTTAGTAAGTCGGTTATAAGTGGGGTTATAACTGAGGTAACTCCATTTAGGGTACTTATAACTCCATTGATAACCTACTTTACTCAGTCCCCTGGGCCTCTAAGTAGGCCGCCGGCGGTACAGCACCTCTCCGGCCGCAAGGGGCCAACTAGGGTTTAGGGGTTTAGGGTTTAGGGTTTAGGGTTTAGGTGTTTAGGGTTTAGGGTTTAGGGTTTAGGGTTTAGGGTTTAGGGTTTAGGTTGGAGTCAGCAACTTCGATTGCAAATGTCACTTTAGGCCCGCCAGTCTTTCGACCAGCTGGGAGCTTGAACGTAACATAGTGGCCAAAACTATTAACTATCTTATTCCTTGGGGTTCCTTTTATAAATATACTATGAGGCAGCCCAAAACCCTATTCTGATCATTCAGGCCCTTACAGTACTCCTGCATTGAACTGTTTTCTTGGGGTGTTGGAATTTCACCCCTCGAAGCAATGCAGTACGAGTCATGATCAGTGGTGAGGCAGATGCTATGAATAAAGGCTCTGTAGGCACCTTTGTACCCCAAAACTCGTTTTTTTTTTTTAGGGTTTAGGGTATGGGGTTTAAGTTTAGGATTTAGGGCTTAGGTGTTCTTTTGGACCTAGACCCTGGTCGCTGCACCCTAAACCCCAAGCTGTACTTCCTAAGCCCTATAGATCTAGCCTAAGACCTCCCTTCACCGAATCGTTATACCGCGAACCCTTACTTTTGGGAAGGGGGGGGGAGGGGAACAGTGTAGGGTTTTGCGGTGCTTAGTATCTTGGGATTGAGAGTTCTAGCATTTAGGGTCGTGAAGTTCTGGGAATTTAGGATTTGAGGATGCTTAAACAAGTGGTTCCAGCTTATCTAGGGCCTTAGGGCTTCGGTGTCGGGATTTGCGGATTTAGGCCTTTAGGGTGCTTATGTCTACGGCTTGAATTATTGAAATCTTGGACAGTTTTGGTTTTAGGGTTTCTGAGCCGGGTAGGCTGAACCTCCAAGAATCGCTGGAAGGCTCTTCTGCGGAGACTTGGGTAACGAGGTCACGGACGACCTGTCTGGAGCTCAAACCACTGCTCGAAGGTTTTTAAACCTAACGAAACCGAATTGGGGGGTTCCGAAAATAGGGTACCCTAATATAGTACTCTAAACAGTAGGATGCTTGTTGTAAGGACCCAAAAATTCGGTACCCTTAATGTTGGTAACTCCCAACTAGGTTCAGAAAGAAAGCTCACGAAGCCCCGAAGCTTTTAACCTGAAATCAAGGAATCCTACGCCCAGATCCTCCACCCGTTGTAGCCTGTAAAGCCATAAAGCTCCCTCCTTAGTCGCCATACAAGACAACCTTATAATGTAGGGGTCTAAATAATTTCCTGTAGTATTTTGGGGGTTCCTTATTATGTTTATAGTATAATTGGCCCCAAAGCCCTATTCTAATTCCTAAGGCCGCTACATCAGGCGCACTCACAGCCCCTGACACCACGAGGTTGGCCTAATGTAGGGGCCCAAATAATTGCCTCTACTATTCTGGGGGCTCCTTATTATCACTATATACTTCAAAGCACCCCAAGACCATATTCCAATTATTACGGCCCTTATATTATGCCTTCCGAAGCCGTAAGCCCTAAACGATCTAGGGGTTCATGGTTTTGGGGGCCTCCTGGAACCCCCTATAAAAGCCCTAAGCCCCAAACCTCTATGGTAGGCCATAAAGCGAAGCCTTTTAAAATCCTAAACCCTAAACCCTAAACCCTAAACCCTGAACCCCAAACCCTAAACCGTCTGAGGTTGGCGAACGCCTTCCGAAAGTACAGCTCCTTCCAGAAGGCCAAGGCTGGACTTCCCCGGGGTGTCCAGAAGGGACCGGGAGTGCTAAAGCCGAAGCCTTAAACCCGAAAGCCCTAAACCCCAAACCGCTTACTTAATGGGCTTTCCAGGGTTGACACGGTTACTTAGGGGTTTCAGAGATGGGGTTTTAGAGGGCTTAGTAGGGGTTTAGGCTTTACTGACCGTACTGTGAACGGGTTTGAGGGTTTAAGGTTTATGTGTAGCTAGGGCTTTCGAGGTTGAGGGACTGTGTGTGTGTGTGTATGTCACTGTATACAAGTACGCATGTATACCTAGGGTGCAGAGATCCGGATTATTGGAGGGGTGTTGGGATAGTCTGGGATTTCGGGAAGGGCCTCGAATCTTTTGGTTATGATACATGTGATAGGTTTGCCGGGCATGATGAAGGAGCATCTTTGGTAGCTCCATGAAGGAGTGTCTCCGCCATTCTTGCTGTTGAATTCGGGAGAATAGGATCTGAATGAATAGGGAGGGACAGGGGTTTAGGGTTTAGGGTTTACTAAAACCCTAAACCCTAATTAAACCCTCAACCCTAAACCCTAAACCCTAATTAAACCCTAAACCCTAATTAAACCCTAAACCCTAAACCCTAAATCCTAAAAGAGTTCTGTGTATTGGTCAGATGCTGGGTCAGATCAGGTCAGGCCCCCTGTAGAGCAATGCGGGACTTTCCGAGAATTTGGGTACCTTATTTTGGGGTCCTTATAATAAGGATCCTACTATTTAGGGTACTATATTAGGGTCCCCTATTTTCGGAAACTCCCATATCCTTTTGGAACTTTTGGGCGTATGAGTATTGTTGGCAATGCCTTTCCTTTACCACTTAGAGGGTCGGAGGTGACTGTGTGCATAGGGTTTCAAGTAAGGCGTCCATAGTTACAGTCACACGTGTAGGTTTAGGCGCAGTAGTTACACGCATACTTACCAGTACAAGGATCCTCCATGTCACAAGCATTTAGCTATGGTTGAGGTTTGTGTAGAACCCTACCACAGTCACAGCTCGCGGTATTGAGGCAAAGGTTACGCGGTCAGCAACTAGGAGGGACGTATCGGGGATGCGTGAATGATGGCAAACAGCAACATTCACCCTAAACCCTAAACCCTAAACCCTGGCTTTGGGCGTTCATTCCCCTACACCCTGAAGCCGGAGAAGAACTTATCATGCATGTGCGCAGATGTTCACCAATTGTTCAGTGTTTTCAGTTTTACCTTGCGGACACCGCCAATCTACAACAGTAACAGTAACATGTGCAACAGATCTTGTTCTGTACCTATGCTCACTATGCTAAGTTGCGCCGGTGTCCAGAAAATATGGGTGGCACACGGTGGCACAAGGTAAGCCCGAAGCTTTACCCTAAACCCTAAGCTTTACCCTAAATTTTAGCTTTGCACCCCAAGTCCTGCACATTTAACCCTTTATTCCTCAAGGCCTGCAGCTCCTCAACCCCAGCATGTCAACTGAAGTCTGCTTAGTAAGCCGCCAGATCCACATTAGCTTTATGGGGGTGAGGGCTTGCGTTTTGAGTGCCTTAGCTAGCTCTCAGGTATCCTACATGTTGGTGCAACTTGTGTGTGCTGCTTGCTTTCACCAGGGCTCTTATTGAGAGTGTTTTACGTCTCAACTCTCAACCCTAAACCCCAAACCTATGCGATGGTTTTCCTCTATGTCAGTAGTGGTATAGAAAAGTTTTCGGCAAGCAATCCTGAGCATGACAGCTGACATACCCTAAACCCTAAACCCTGACATACTGTTCACAACAACCCGATATCCGAAGATTTCAAACCCTACCTAGAGGCTCCTGCCCTACCCCCGTGTTTTAGGGTACCTAGTTCCGTATTCCTTAGTTAGGATCTGTAATATGAAGAAATAAAGGTAACCCAACAAAAAAAAGGACAGAGTGCATATATGGGCCGGGCAGACGCAGGGAAAGGCCACTGCACTCTTTAAAAATAACTCCGCAAGTCCCGCACCTGCTACAACCCCCTCTGTCAAACCCCGAAATCCCTGAAACTGTAGCCTCCGAACCCTTTGACCTTAAGCCCTTTAAACCCTGAACCCTGGGCCCTAAACCCCTAAACCCTAAACCCGAAACCCGTTTTGCATCTTTGCCCAGGTGATCCGAGATAAGCGTACCGGTAAAACCAAAGGCTACGGCTTCGTGTCGTTCTCCGCCCCTGAGGACGACCTTGCCTGGTTTAGGGATTAGGGTTTAGGGGTATAAGGGATGTCGGCGAGTGCACCTAGAGCTCCGCAGGAATATTACTAAGTATATGTTTTTGTTGGTGTCGTTATGGTTATGAGATTTTCTAACACTATAAGTATCCCCACTCAATTGTAATTTGGGCTTGAAAAATCTTCAGAGCATACAGCAGCGGCATCAGGCTGCAGAACGAAGGCAAAGGGAATCTGCCGATGCCAATTCCTCCCGTAAACTCGAGCCGGAGTCGTTCAGCCTTCACCTCCCCATTATTTGTCGTTTTCGGCTGGAGGTGATAACCTGGTTATCTGCTTAACCTATGTAGTAGATATAGATCCCTTTAACGGAACCCATCAAGGAACCCCTCTAGATCCCTTCCCCCTAAAGCTCATAGGACCCCTTCAAGGAACCTTTCTAGATCCTTTCAAGGAACCCGCAAAGGAACCCCACTAGATCTCTTAAAGGAACCCATCAAGGAACCCCTCTAGATCCCTTAAAGGGAACCATAAAGGAACCCGCGCAGGACATGGTGGCGGCCTTGCGAGATGTGAACGGCCGATATGTTGGCAATCGACCCGTGCGCCTGAAGAAGAGCAACTGGAAGGCCAGGGTTGAGGGTGCAGGGTTTGTTTAAAGGGGATCAAGGGTTTTAGGATGCTTAAAAGGGGGTATTAAGGGTTTAAGGTGTTTAGGGTTTAGGGCCAGGTGTTTTTAGGGTTTAGGGTCTTGAAAGGTCAGAGCTCCAAGTTGTTGTTTGCTTTGGCCTTTTGCTTTCTGTTGAGGCCGGGAGGTTGGGGGGGGGTGATCAGGGGGCAGCGGGGGTTAGGGTTTAGGGTTTAAAAGAAGGCCAGAGCTATTACTGTTGCCTTTCGTTGAAGGGCTTGGGATTTCGGGTGTAGGGTAGTGTTTCGGGTTTGCGGTTTTGGATGGCAAGAGGTATGGAGTTGTCGGCTTTTCTTTTCGGGTTCCGTGCCGCTGTCCTGGAACTCGTGTTTTTGCGGAGCCCTAAACCCTCAACCCTAAACCCCTAAATCCTGAAGCCCTATAAACCCTCAACCTCCCCACCTTGGGTTTTTGTTTTAAACTGTTAAGGCCCTGACCTGGATTCCTCCTGGACCCCAAACCCAAGGGTCCAAATTTGTACTAGGCAGGGTTCAGGGATTACCCCAAAGGTTAGGTTTTAGGGTTTAGGGGTACCCAAAATCAATATACTCTCCCAAATACCAGCCTACATAGCTATTACCCGACCCATTGATTGGGTCTCTTGATCCAGTAGGGAAAGATCCCCAAACCCTGATGACAACTGTTGCAAGTTGAAGCCAGAATTTTAAATTGCCCGTGTGTTGTTGTGTTTGGTGTGGTGTATTCGAGATGAGGTTTCAAGGGCACTTTTTTAGCCTCCGAAAGGGTCCCAAGTACCTACATAGCGGAACGTAGGGTCTCAATACTAGGAATCCCCAAACGTTCGCCCCATGAATTCCGAATAGCAACAAGCAGCCCAAGCTCTAAACCTAGAAGCCCTAGCATAGAAGCCTCAACGCTTACAATACAGTCTATTGCTCAGGGTTTCTTATGACACCTCGCTTCCAGTCACCCTAAACCCTAAACCCGAATTAAGCACCTGATTTGGAGATTCCTAGAGTAGGCGATTTATTCCAAACCCGGAGCCCTTAACCCTGAAACCCCTAAAACCCGAACCGCAACCCCCAAACCCAGGAACCCTAAACTTTCCTGTACCCCTGAACCCGAAACCATACCCTTAAACCCTAACCCATAAACCCCT